TGCCTAAAGCTGGGCCCCCTGCGTTCTCCTCTGCTTGCTGCTGCTTTCCCCGCTCCCGCAGCACGGCCTCGTCTGCTGCGCGCTGTGTTGGCAGCAGGTCTGGGTTAGCGTTCGCCGAGGGTCGCAGTTCCCCCTGCGGCCACCCGCACGCTTTTCCCCGCTGACGGTGCCGGTCAGCTGTGGGGCATCTTGGAAAGAAAGGGGCTTTTGGAGGTGGTGACGGCGCGTTCGGGTTGAAAATGGTTTCAGCCGAGCTGTCTGTTCCCATGGTGGCTGTACTACACGCACACATCCGATGACATTCCCGTACCTTGTAGTGTGCGATGCAAATTATAATAAACCGTGTTTTACTGTGGGTGTTGATCTGACTGCTCGTGGTCTCGCTTTTGTAACTATATTGATGTGAGCTTCCCGAGCCTTTGAATGAAAGCCGCCTCGTTCATGGTAAGAACTGGTCCCGAAACATCTGGGTCCACTCCCAAAAGCAGTGCCCTCGTCGTCCGGCTCTCGTGACTTCTCCCCGCTTCCTCACTCCAGTACCTAGGATATGCCTGCCCGTAAGGATGTGTCCACCTTGGGAGGTTATATGCAAGCTACTGTTCTTTGTTACCTAAAAAAGTAGAAAGATCTGTAACAGCATCTTAATTAAAACTTATTTTGTAGGATAACTGGGATGATGAGGAGGAAGAGGAGGAAGTAAAGGAGACAGAGGTAAAACAAGGTAAGACTTAAAAGGACTACGTGGCTCGGCGTGCAGCGCCAGAACAGACACTGGTTTTGTCCAGGGTGTATCTGAAGAATCAAAACCACTTCCCAAATGGGGTCGGTTTTGCCTGTGACAAAGCACGGCTTTTAACTCCCTCTGTGTTTGGATTCCAGTAATTGAGCGCTGTGGCTTTCTCTTTGATTAATGTTTCTGTAGTTGCTGAAGAAAAATAATCAGTAGGCCTCTTGAGAGCTGTTTGTTCAATGTTTTACAGAACCAAAAGTTTCAGAAAAAAAGAAAATAGCAGAAAAAATAAAAGAAAAAGAAAAGCTACAGAAGAAAAAGCAAGAGGAGCTTAAAAAAAGGGTAACTCCTTTATCTTCCAGGGCTCAAAATGTAGAGGGCAGGTTTGACTGTTGTTCTTTGGTTTGGTTTTTTGTTTTGGAGGTTGAACAAGACCTGTAAAGATCTTGCCTATTCCGATAAACCAAACTTAAGTCTTGTATTTAGTAACTTCTGGGGGACGTCAGCTTTATTTCTCCGTGATTCAACCAGGCTATTGAAATAATGCTATCGCTGTTTCTTTTGCCTGCACCTCTCGATAAACCAGCAGTTGTGAAACTTGGAACGGAGGTGTTCTTCCTACTTCTTGTAAAATGAGCAATTTATTAAGCGGGTGGCGTCGTTACCCTGCGTTGGGGTGGTTGTCAGGTTTGTGCGTGCTTGCGGTGCCGAGTTCGGGCAGGAGCGAGCTATTCAGGTGGCACTGGGAAAAACGCGATTTCTCGTACTCCCTCTGCTCAGGGGTAAGAGAGGTAACGTTCTCCCTGTGTACGTTTTTTGATGCAGTTAGAGGCACCAGAGGAACATAAAGAACTTACACCAGAAGAACAGTTAGCAGACAAACTACGACTAAAGAAATTACAAGAGGAGTCGGACCTTGAGCTAGCAAAAGAAACATTTGGTAAGTGCTGTGCCCGAGTCAAGCGAGCCGGTGCCGTCACGAAAGCGCTGCGTCCTCTGAATAAAACCTGTGGCTACCCTGCACGAAGAGCAGAGCAGGATTTGACTGGGAGCACGAGCAGGTTGTTACTGAGGATGGAGAGGGGGTTGAATTCAAACTGCTGGGGCACGTCCTGGTGCCAAGGGCTAATTGCAAGAACCACAAAACCATCTTCAGGGTAGAAGGTGCTTTTCCTTAATGTGTCGTGGTAGGAGGCCATAGGGAAAAGATGCCTGCCTGGGGTTTCCAACGTATTTGTACTTCTGGTAACAAGATGAGTGTGTAAAAAGGGAAAAAAGAAAAAGTGCTGTGTCTTAATGTTCTGAGGTGCTCTACAACACGGATTTAATGAGGCTTCGGATGAGTGTGGCGCAGCGTAACTCACGCAGGCTTTACTTGGGCAAGCTCTGCCCTAGGCTGGGTGTTGAGAAAGCAGCTGAGTTAGTGACTGAGCTTGTTGCCCGGCGTAGATGAAGCAGACTTCAAGCAGATCATTCTGGTTTTGTGCTTTGACAGAGCTAGCAGAGAATCCTGATTCATAGCAGCGTTCTCCAAACATGAAAGCGTGTTTGCTTGATGACAGTGAGTGACACAGCTTGTTACTCAGAGAAAATTCTGCTCTGTGAGTCTGCCGAAGGGGTGCAGTGCCCTGGGGGGGTGCATTGAGCAGAGCTGCAAAGGACCAACTGCATTTTGCACTTAGGGGCTCAGGATGGGAATTCCGTGTTTAAGGGGAAGGGGGCTTCATGTAGCGCACGCTGCTCCAGGAACAGCTGGTTCAAATTACTGAGCTTTGCAGCAAAACCTCTTTCCGTAGCCGGCAGTAACTCCGTCTGCTGAGTGCTTTTGTGTGGCTGAGGCCGGTGGGAAGTGAGGGAGCAAACCCCAGCTCTGGCTTTGCGAAGCTTCAGTGGGGGCGAGGAGCCGAGCGTGAGCCAGGTTACTCGTTTCCTCTGGTGTCGTCTTCTAGGGACCACAGCTCGTGTGTTCTGTGACGCCTCTGTCTCTCCGTGCAGGTGTAAATAACACTTGTGGAATAGATGCCATGAATCCCTCTTCAAAAGACGACTTTACGGAATTTGGCAAACTACTAAAAGAGAAAATTACACAGTATGAAAAATCGTTACATTACGCCGGTTTTTTGGAAGCGTTAGTTCGAGACGTATGTATTTCATGTAAGTGAAGCAGAAGGCGTCCTGCAGTACCCTGCTACCAAAACTGCAGTGGGGCTGGAGTTGGAAAGGTGCCGTTCTAGTAAATGTTAAACCCAGATTGATCCGCGTCGTTTATACTAAACGAAGTACTAATCTGTTTCACTGGCCAGCACCCGATTCCATTCCCGCTACCTTTAGTACCGACTGTGTGCTCCTCCAGGGGTACTTTCTGCCTGTCGGTCAAAGACAGGCCTTTTGTAACCTGTGAATTTTTATCCTGATCTGAATCTTGCATGTTTTTCCTGAAGCCATTTCTAATAACGATGATAAAAAAATTCTCTGAGCCAGACAACTCGAGCAGCTCATTTGGAAGGAAACCATTACAAAATCGGGTCAGTGTAATTCTGGGACTGCAAATAAATTGGTCTGGAGTTCAGCATGTAACTGTACAGAGACAAAAGAAGCTTCAACTCGGTCCTTGCCGTTGTTCTGGTGGGCTGAAGTTCTTGCTGAATCCATTGCTCGAGCTCTTGCCTGCGCTGTACCCGCGGCCCGTCAGCGCAGCGGTAACGTGGTCCTGCCTCGTGCTGTGTAAATACAGAGATCGCTGGCGGACCGGAGCTGGTAACTTAAATTTCAAATGGATTCCAGATCTAAAGGGAAGGACCCACAACCCCTTGGACCGTTTGTTGTTAATCCTAAGAATTTATTGTTAATCCCCTGCTCCTCCTGACGCTTTACTGTATTTTACTGTGCCCATATTTTACTGCTCCAGTTCCTCCTCATGAGGACTTGTGTGTCACTAACCCTTAATTGGCAAGTTTTACCCTCTGCAATATTCAGGCTGCTTCCTAGGGGCCATCTGAAGGAGTAACTGTGATTGTAAGGACCATGAGCACCCAGTCTGTGTTTTGCTCGTGTAAATCAAGTAATTGCCCGTCCTTACTCTTAATGCTTATCTCTAGTTTTTAGAGAATGTTGCTGTTAGATTATTTACTGCCTTCTAAGAACAATATTGATGAGGAATCGTTTGTTTGTTTGTTTTTCCCCTGACGCAGTGGAAGTTGATGATTTGAAAAAGATCACAAATACTTTGACAGTACTATGCAGTGAAAAACAAAAACAAGAAAAGGTAAGCAGTAATGCCACCTGCTAAGGGCGCTAACCGGGACGACGGGAATAGGTCTCGCGCTGACTTGAGTGCTGATTTTGTTAGAGGCAGTAGCAGGGGATATAATTATAACCTTGGATACTGGTTTAGCGTTAAATCCTCTTCGCTGTGTGAGGTACTTTGGAGTTGATTGAATCTAGAGCTCACAGGCAGAACCTGGATGAATTTCCGTACAAGTTTCCCAGGGGCTGACCCTGTTACTGTGTACGCTGTCCTGGAGTTCAAAGGGCTCGTGCCCGCCTCCTGAAAACAGAAGCCAGCCTCAGCTGGAGTTAAATGTCAATGTAATACCTGTCTGTGGAGGCAGCTTAAATCTTTGCCAGATCTGGGATTTTGAATAGCAGGTGACTGGGATTTTTACACTGTCATGCAAACTAAAGGAGCAGAGGCAAGAAAGAGTTAAGTTTTAAAAAGTGATGTAGTGGCTTAACTGATGCTTACGTGATGCAAAACACTGTGGCTTATCGCATGGGTCTATGTCAGAACTCCAGGTGGGCTGGGGTTCAGTGATTAATTAAATTGTTAGACAGCACCACGATCAAGCAGGAAATACGACTGGCAGTGCAAGCCTTGGAACGTTTTAAATGGGACTGGAGGATCGGTAGGAACCACCGGCAGAGCGTTGTCAGTGTAAGCAGTACCCCAGGAAGGGGGAAGCCCCTCCGACACAGACTGGGGGGTGCCTGCTGCCCTTCTGGGGGCAGCTCCAACGCCCCCGGCGCGAGTGAAGCACCTTAACGCAGAACAAACTTAATGCGTTAAGTCTGGAGTTTGGCAAATGCGATAAACCTTGTTCTTTAATACGAGCTGCACTTTGCAGGGAAGCCTGGGACATGTCGGGCCGGACAAGTTTAAAACGAGAATGCGTGTGTACTTCCTACCTTTATGTTCTGCTCTCCTGGCTTTTCATGTAAATTAGTTTGCTCAGCCACTGACAGCTCCGAGTGCACTGAGCAAGTCAGGAAGCGCTTTACTGAGAAACGTTCTGTTTGCTGTTCAGGACTTCGGGGTTTCTTTGCAAGGAAGATGTTCAGCCGCTATGGTGATAAAAGCCACGTTAAATTCCTTAATTCAATTAGTGTTTACTTTGGTGAAATTACCAGACTTGGGAGTTTATTCAGTTATTCTACTTGTTTGGAGTCTAGGAAAGTAGGAGGAAAGACAAAAAGGGGCGAGAATGTGATGCAGGGAGCTGTGGGACGCCGGGACAGGTCGCAGCTTCGCCGTGACGAGGCTGCAGCGGGGGGAAACGCAGGGGTAGGAATCGCCGGCAGCAGCGCGCTCACCGCATGGGCGGGCTATGAAGGCACGTGGCACGACTCTAATTAGAGTAACGACAAGTTACTGTGCATTTTTACAGTAAGCATGCTCTTCCTATTTAAGCAGAATAAAGCCAAAAAGAAGAAAAAAGGTGTTGTGCCTGGCGGTGGTTTAAAGGCTACTATGAAAGATGACCTGGCTGATTACGGAGGATACGACGGAGAATACGTACAAGACTTTGAAGACTTCATGTGACATTTATCCCCCCTTCTGTTGTCTTTCTGTTGCCCATAATCCCTTAAACATGTAGCACAACTTTTCTTCCTTTAAATTCTGCCAAATGCTACAATCAAAATCGCAGTATCGCTGTGCTGGTGGTTTAACTCTTGGCGGGCCCGTGCGGAAGCGCGGGGCGTCCTGTTCTGTGGTCGGGGGTTAGAATGGAGACATTGAAAAGCTCTGTAAATCGCAGTTACAACCCCCCAAATTCTGATAACGTAACTGTTGCTGTGAGGTTTTAGAGTAACAGCCGCTAAATTGGAAATGCTTTTCAACGAGGCAAAGTATTATTACCAGCACAGTCCAGTGACATGGCCTTAACTGTACCTCCCTGACCGACCTGTTTGATGAGCAAAAGCAGTTTGCAGCAAGGGCGTGGTGTGCACTTAGTATTTACACTTTGCTTTGTCTTAAGTTAGAGCTTGAGGTTTTTCAGTACGTTGTGAAGGGGAACGGCGACCTTCGGAGTGAGGATACGGCGCCCGGGAAGGCATCACTTGGGCTGCCCACCGCTTCAGAGCTTCAGCTTGGCACCCAGACGGCACCCGCGGTGGGTCAGGACAAGAGTTGCTTATTTGGAAAAAAGACGACTTGTTTCGTGCGTATGAAGTTTAGTTTCCATTCACCTAAATTTCTACTAATGCAGCTGTATGGGTTGGGTGTTCTCTAACAGATAATTGCCTGGTTTAAGTGTAAAAAAAAAAAAAAAAACAACCCCACAAAACCAAGCCCAAGACTTCTTTTGGTCTCTCACGGGTTGTGGTAGACCTTTCACGACTCAGCCATTTTCTTTCATTTAAAAAAACAAACAACTTGCTTGGCAAACTGCAAGAGTTACTACAGTTGGGCAAATTGTTATGTTAACAATTATGACATCTGCAATGTTTTATAAAGCAACTAATTTAATAAAAATCACTATTGAGGACTTCACTACGGCTGTCTTTGGGCCTGTTCTTTTAGTATCTTCCAGTATTTGAAATGACAGCGGTGCAGAAGAGCCGTGTGCTGGGCGTGTCACCGGGCCTCCTCTTGCTCAGCCCCAGCTGAAGTGGTGGTGGAGGGCACGGCTGCCTCCCCGTGAAAGGGCTGTTCCTTGCGATAAGGCCCTCACGGCTGCTGATGGTGAAGTACTTCTAGGACTGCCATAATCCAGGCGTTGCCAGGAGGAACGTAAGCTCTTCTGCCGCTGGAACTGCGGCGCTCGGCGGTCTGTGCTTATCGCAGGAGCATTTTAGGGTGGCCCTTATCAGCGTGAGCTGTCGCTTTGCTCCGGCTGGCAGCCGCCATCGCCAGGACCAGGCCTGCGTTCACAGCTGGCGGTTTGCTCAGGTGTGTGTTCCCAGGCTGGATGGGGATACGCGTGCGCTTCCAGAGCCTTCCCCGTGTTGGCAGGCCCACGTTTTTAGAGGCTCAGGGATGGTCATTCTCAGGCTAGACAGCTCGAGGTTCCCTTTCATGCCAGGAGCTGTAATGGTCAAGTTAAAAGCTTGCTAGCTGTTATTTAACTGGGATGAACCACAGCCAGCTCTGTTCAATTTGGTCTTAGGAACCTGACTAGAACTGGAATTTTAAATCTGGTTCTGCTCAGGCATAATCCTCCCTACATAAAATGTTTTATTTATCACAGGAGCTGTGACTTGTACTCTGTACCCCTGTACAGCCTCTAGCGCTGCCCTTGCGGAGTTGAGCTAAACGCTGCGCGAGTCTCCGCCACCCTGGAACTGTTCAGCAACGGAAAGGAGCGTGTAAGCTTTAAAGCCAAGTTAGCATCGCTTTGCTAATTAACTGCCTGGGTTGCTATGGCAATTGTGTTTTTGCTAGGATAACGTTTAGCGACAGCGTGGTATCGTTGCTTCATTTTATCTAAAAGCTGTCTGTAAGCTGCTGTCAGCCCTCCCCGCCTCCCCTCCCCTTTTT